ATGGTTCTTAAGAGCTATAAAGATATATGTGCCTTCAGCATAATAATACTGTATCCGAGAGAAGTGTAGGAACTTATATCCTATATTATATTAATTTACTTTGATTTTGTCCACCTAGACAAGTTTACCTTTATTAATAAACTTCTGAAATTTTATTTTAGTTAGTTACCTTCCAATTATAATCCTGAAACACCATTGAATCTTACTATTATATTCTAATGGATAATTGGACCAGGATACTGACTACTTGTTACAAAAACCCAGTAACAAGCTGAATGCTAGAAGGGCAGTCCTATTTAATATTCCCTGGAGATGTCTATGATTCATAGATATAGCATTTTTTGTAACAATTATTATCATGGGAGAGCTCTAAACCGTAGGGATTGTACAGCTCCTGTGTGTGCCAGGGAGGAGAGGGGGGAGGGGGACGGTGGAAATATAAGACGTTCAGCCTCAGTTGACGAAACTGGAGCACAGCTCCAATTCCCTAGATCACGAGCCCCTCACCAACTTCAAGGAACCTCCTTTGAAGGGGACCTCAAACGAAACAAATTTGGCAACGCGGGAGGGATATTAATACGGCGAGAAGCGTGTAGCACTTTTTCCCCTAAGGTTAAAAGTATATAGGATACTAGCAAATGTATCACTGTATCCGGCCTGAATATAACTCGTATGACCTAAGGTACTACTGTCTAGCCCCCTAAGGGGTTTATAGCTTCTCCATAAATTTAACAGTAATGACCACACCCTGGATTAGCGTAGTAAATTTGAGCTATGTGAAAATTTGTCTGGACTGCCTCAAAGTGAGTCGCCTACCCTGGCAAGCCCCGTTGACAGCACTGAGGTCGGTACCTCAGCCTCACAAGTGGCTTATAGGACAGATTTTCATAAATGACTGATGTTGCAAGAAGCCTCGCCTGCATGCACGTTTAAAGGACTAACTTACTTGGTGTTACAGCATATATCCTGATCTTCAACCTCCCTAAGCTTAGCCCCTTTGGACTTCCCCTCAGAAACCACGTGCAACCAGGAGCCTTAATTCCTGCAATATTCAATCGATATTAGTGACCTGCCTGCACCTCAGAGATTCCTGTATCCAAGAGGGTGTGTATCCCCTAGTATAACTATGCAGAAATGGACACTAGCTTCTAGGTAGACAAGAGACAAAATCACATACTGGTCATGAACTGCTGGCTGCACAAAGGCCACAGCTCAACTCGCTCGCAATTTTCCCCAGACAATGGCCAGAAATCCTAAGAAAAAGTGGAGGTTTTGTCCTACTGTATGGGCCTCTCGGTGCCTCCACCAGATTTCCCCAGGTCTCATGTGTGAAGACATGTGGGGGCGCCATCTGCTGATCACGGCACATGTTGTCCAGATGGTGTCTAGTCATAGAAGAAAGATCTGGCGTCTTCGAGACCCGCGCCTCGTCGTTCAAACTTGGGCTGCCAGTTCTCCCTAGCTAACTTAACCTAGTGTTTGCCTACATTATCGGCCTATTACTACCTATGTTAAGGTCTTAGGTCTACATTATTATTATCTACAGTTTCCTCAATAATCCTAATATTAGTGTACTAACAGTATAAACTACCTACTTCTTCCCTGAAGGGTAAATCTATAAATTAAGAAGTACCTTCCATCCACCTCCGCCAACCCGGGTGAGTGTGTTTGTGTTTTTGGGTGGGTGTAAGGGCCCTCGAACGGTGTGTTTTTCCACGTTGGGACTTCTCGGACTGAATAAGTTCCAACAAGCTATATTTTGTTCTTAAGTGCTAAAAAATTTTTAATAGTTGCTATAATTTAAGTGCCATAATTTGTTCTTAGGTGCCATAATTTGTTCTTAAGTGCTATAATTTGCTATTATGGAGACTTGTTGAAACTGTATCTCTTTCAAGAATAATAATATAATCAAATTAAGTGGTAAACCCGAGAGGGTCATACAACGCTATGTCTCCCAAGAGGCGTCTTGGTGTGAGTCACCAGCATTTTGACAGACATGTAAATGAAGTCAACAGCATGATGACATATGTAAATGAAGTCACCAGCATGATGACAGATATGGAAAATTTTATAGAGGGTTACCTGTATGTACCTCAACATTACATGCATATGAGTAATCTCACTGGGAGACAACAACCATATTGTTTACCGTAGTCACCCCGTGTAGACATGTGAGAAAACTTAACCACCCCGTTTTTCTTTTTAGGTCATGCTGCCTTGGTGGGATATGGCCGGTTTGATGAAAAAAATTGATTTCTTAAGTACCCCTCTCTTTTGACCTATGAGATATTTTTATGCATTGTTTATCCATTGCAGGTGGTCCCTTTGACCTCACAATCTTATCCATATCTATCCGAGACCAGTATAAATTGGATAGCACCCACAAGTACGGCGCTACTAATTAATTGTGGACTGTATAGATTATATTAGTTTAACTGAATGAAGATGGGGGGGGGGGTTAGGCTACACATGGATATATCCATCAAGGAAAAACACTTGTATATAATCCCACCACTTGCCAGATATTCTCTGGTGGTCACTTGATGTAGCTGGATCACCCACAACCTATCCAATTACAACATACCTAACTGGCCAGTATCAGTCTGCTATAACTAGAAGGGTTACTTAACTGTGGGCGATTGATGCTCCTTATTCCCTCTATTCACCATCTCATTTCGATGTCCTGCTACACCGACATGGTTCTTATTCCAGCAGGATGAGGTATCCGTTGGTTTGTCCCTGTTTAGAAGTCGTGACTCCATAAAAACTTCACTATCCTTGGGACAGGAACCACGAGGTAAATAGATGCTCACTCTGAGAACGGCGACTCATTTCACTTCACACATTCTCTTAACTTGGTGTTATTATCACTGATTACTTCTTAGCCCACCATATTTGTTTAATGTCTCATAATTATTATACACATTGGAGGCCACTCCATTAAGATCTGAGACCGACGAGTGATGATTAAATCACGGGTATTTTTCCCCGAGACACACTCCTTGGCGATGCGCCAGTCACCACCGGTCCTACCATTATTCGCTAATTTTGCCACTATTACGGTGGTCCCGTAAATCATGTTCCCTCACTCTTCACCAGGAACAGTTACGACACTTCCTATTATGAAGTGAGGCCTATATTAATCCTTAGGCCACCGTGAATGCCAATTTCCTGGTCCCATGCTTTCCCAGCCTCTTAACTCCATTCCAAACACTCCCGCTCTCTGATGCCCCATCTCAACCTCTTCCCTGCCCATCACTGTATAATCCTCCGGGTTTAGCGCTTCCCCCTTGATTATAATAATAATAATTCCCTGCCCATCAGCGCAGGTGCAGAGCTTCCCTGTTGGTTCTCTTTAAAATACAATTTAGAGCAACAGTAATGCATTAATCATGTATATTTACATTATAAGAAAATATACAGTATAATTATGGGAATTTATTTTCCACAACAGACATGTAAATGAAGTCACCAGCATGACAACAGACATGTAAATGAAGTCACCAGCATGACAACAGACATGTAAATGAAATCACCAGCATGACAATAGACATGTAAATGAAGTCACCAGCATGACAATAGACATGTAAATGAAGTCACCAGCATGATGACAGACATGTAAATGAAGTCCCCAGCATGACGACAGACACGTAAATGAAGTCGCCAGCATGACGACAGACACGTAAATGAAGTCGCCAGCATGACGACAGACACGTAAAGGAAGTCACCAGCAAGATGACAGACACGTAAAGGAAGTTAACATGTAACTGACGACATTTTGCCCATGCAGTGGGTCTTATCAAGTCAGATAAACCTGGAGGGAGACGGTGGGAAACATTTTAATTTAATCATGGGCGAGCGCTTAACCCATAGGATTATACAGCGCACGTGGGGGGCAGGACCAGAGCACAGATTCAATTCCCTAGATCAAGAACCCCTCATCAGCATCAAGGAACCTCCCTTGAGGGAGGTTCCTTGGGTAACAGTAGCAGGATGAAGTGAGGTGAAGAGTGTGAGGAAGTGTGTATCCTGGGTCACATCTGGTCACATGTGTCCTAGGAATTGATAGGACAGAGGTTCAGTTAAGTTGCAGAAACTGGTGCTGTAGTTAGTTATTAGGAATAGCGATGAGTACTGATTTAAGACACATAATTTTCTGAGTGTTATTCTCCTTAGAAAGAGAGAGTATGGAGAAGTGAGTGAGAGTAGAGAGAAAGTATGGAGTAGAGAGAGGAGTTTCATATAGATTGAGAGAAAGAGAGAGAGATAGCAAAAAGGAAAAAATGGAGATGCCGAGGAAAGGACACAAGGAAAGGGAGGGGGAGAGGTAGAGGTAGGTAGGTAGGTAGGTAGATATGGGAAGGTCGCAGTGGATTTAGTGTCAAATTAAGAAACTGTAGTCTAAAGCAAAAGTGAGACTGTTTGAGGGTGTTGAAGACCTCTAAAATAAAGTTGGTGAGAACTTAGAATGGGACAAACCATCAAGAGATAATAAGTAAGACACGTGCGATACTAAGAATCTTTATTAATGAAGTGTCTTAACTTGTCAGTAATGTATATACTACAGAAGGACCCCCGTATCTGCAAGGGATATGTTCCAAGGACCTGCCATGGATACCGAAACCGTGGATAGTAGCAAAACCTACATGTACATATAAGTCCTATCCATAGCTATTACAAAGTTTAATTGATAAATTATGCACAGTAATTGGAGAATTATCACTTTTTCACTGCTGGGAAACACTTCACTGCTTCTCTTAGGCATTGAAGAACTGCCAGCTTTGCACTGGATTCATCTCATTTCTGAAGGAAATGTGGATATACATTATAGTGATTAGCCAACATTTCAAGCTGAGCAGAGCGATCATGCATCGTTGACCCTTGTGGGTTTAGCACTTATGATTATAATAATATCATGCATGAACTCTGAGCATTATTAACAAAGCTCAATGTGAGCTATACAAATCAATGAGGGAAATAAAATAATAGAAAAGGTATTAATTTTAATAAAATTCCGCAAAAACCACATTTTACTGTGTTTATTACATTATATTTTTTATACCCAAAATACAGTAACTCTACCTCTTATGCATTTAATTCCAAATTAAAAAAAATACAAGAATTTTACAAAAATAAATGGTGTAAAAAAAACTAAAAACATTATGAAAATGTTAACAATGAATAACTTTCATTTATCCTCATTAAACTATGAAAACTTTTGTACATAGTTAAAATAATAAATAGAGCACAAACTATACCAACATAAGATAAACTGCCCACAGTATTTACCTCCTATAACGATACCTCTTAAAATGGAACCACAACTGGAAAATATTATTGTGAAATTGGCACCTAAACCCCCTCTTATAAGAATACTCCCATTCACGATTCACAATTTTGAAGGCAATTGCTTCGTATGGAGGTCCTGCTGTGAATTTGAGAATGGCAAAGTCTTTATTATCATCGCATGGAATGAGTTCGTACTGTGGTGTCTTGGATTTGTCAATAAGATCTGGGTAGAAGATATTAAACTTGTATCCCTGGACTATCTTGGGTGGTGGATTATCCATATCATAATGTGTCTGATTGTATTTGTTCCATTCAAAACCAGTGTGGACACGGTTGAAGTAGCGAGGTTTGCGAGGCCGGTACTTGTCAGACCACAGAAAGTGTTGGGTGTCCAATTTGGCTTCCACGCTGAACTGTGCTTCATCACTGAATGAGAAGAAAGACTGGTAAACATCTATTTATTGAACCAATATTTCAAAGTGAAAAAAACTTTTCACTAAATTTATTAAAGATATATAAGAAATATTCCAGTAAAAGGATGACAAAGCAGACATTTCAAGATAAATAATATGATGCACGTGGTTTGAAAAACTGACAGGTTGAAAAATAAGACAAGTTGGGGAATTCGACAAGTTGGAGAATTAGAATCATTACTGTGGAAATGTTTCGCCAGTCTAGTACAGAGATGAACTGTGGAAGATGAATACCCCAAACTAATCCTCATCTTCCATCATACATCTCTGTACTGGACTGAGAAAGTTGGTGAAACATTTAAACAAAAAAAAATTACCAAATGTTGCAAAAGTGTCTAATTTTTTAAGACAATGAACTGATTACAAGCAAGCAGCGAAGTTTATGGAAAACTGGCGACTGAATCAAGACATAAAAAGTGGTTACAAGCAAATACTGTACTTTAATCTTGAAAATTTATTCAAGCTAAGTATTAAAAAAAAGCACCAAACTCACTCATTAAACATGAATATAATATAAATATTTAGTTCAGTTTTGCATATTTAGTAGCACAGCATAAAGGAATGGCCTGAGCTTGCTGCCACCTGCAGCTTGCAAGACTGCCATCCCCACGAGCCCCTTTGTGGGGCAGGGCAGATGGCGGACCAGAGGCCTAGCTTCTCCCTACCCAGGCCTGGCCACAGTCCCCATGAGGGCAGGGACTGTGGCTAGGCCTGGGTACACTTGGTCCCAAAGATGAGGGGGTACTTGTACTTCCTCCCATGGGAGACTTAGGTCTCGAGACACAACCCAGATAGGGAGCCAAGGCCGGGTCACCACTATTGGAAAAGACCCGGGCGGGGAGAATACCGGCGAATAAAAAAAAAAAAGCACAGCATACATAACAAAATTTAGCATATTTAACCATAAATGATACTGAACCCAAAAATTTTGTAAATTTTAGTGAAAAAATGAAATAATTCTTGAAAATACTTGAAAGCAATTTTTTTTCCTTTTTATCTTTCAATACTTTAGTACCGGTTGAGTGTTATATCAAAAAATGCTAGAAACCATAGTAAAACACTAAATATGAAGGAAAAAAGATTTATTTTTTGGTATAAGGCAGCACATGTAAATAACAATAACTAATCAGGGAACAGGTGGGGGCCTGAACCCAATGGAGAGTCCTAAAACTCACAGGGCTATACTCTTTAAAACCCACTGATTAAGGCAAGAGTGTAAGCAATACACAATCGTATCTCCATCTATCAATGTTAATATACACGTATGGTGTAATTAATATTTGTGGTGTGAATATACTGCAGAGAATTCATAGTTTGGAAATTAGGAGATGTGGGATTACCAAACTATTATTCAGAGGGCTGAGGAGGAGTTGCTGAGGTGGTTTGGACATGTAGAGAGGGTGGAACAAAATAGAATGACTTCAAGAGTATATAAACCTGTAGTGGAGGGAAGGCAGGGTAGAGGCTGGCCTAGGAAAGGCTCGAGGGAGGGGTAAAGGAGGTTTTGCGTGCAAGGGGCTTGGACTTCCAGCAAGCATGCATGAGTGTGTTAGATAGGAGCAAATGGAGACAAATGTTTTTTAGGACTTGATGTGCTGTTGGAGTGTGCGCAGAGGAATATTAATGAGGGGATTCAGGGAAACCGGAAAGTACAGTGCAGGCACTCTGGAGGAGGGGTGTTAATGTTGGTTTTATAGCTGCAGTGTAAGTATGCGTCTAGCAAGACAGTGATGGAGTGAATGATGGTAAAAGTGGGTGGGAAACGACCAATGTGTTAATAAAAAAAATAATCTTTCCAATATAAAAATATAAAGTTTATTACAGCAAATATGCTGAATGTTTATATATATATATATATATATATAATAACTACAACAGAATTACTACATCCTAGTATTTGCTTCTTTTAAAACCCCATCTATAAATACAGTGGACCCCCGGTTTACAATATTATTTCATTCCAGAAGTATGTTCAGGTGCCAGTACTGAACGAATTTGTTACCATAAGGAATATTGTGAATTAGATTAGTCCATTTCAGACCCCCAAACATACACGTACAAACGCACTTACATAAATACACTTACATAATTGGTCGCATTGGGAGGTGATCGTAAAGCAGGGGTCCACCGTATATCAAACAACCATGGAGACATTACACATCCCTGCCTAAGATCTACTTTTATTACTTCCCGTTAAAAGTAGGTCTTAGGCAGGGATGTGTAATGTCACCATGGTTGTTTAATATATTTGTGGATGAGGTTTTAAAATTAGTAAATGCTAGGGTGTTGGGGAAAGGGGTGGGATTAAATTATGGGAAATCAAATACAAAATGGGAGTTGACACAGTTACTTTTTGCTGATGAAACTGTGCTTATGGGAGATTCTAAAGAAAAGTTGCAAAGGTTAGTGGACGAGTTTGGGAGGGTGTGTAAAGGTAGAAAGTTGAAAGTGAACATAGATAAGAGTAAGGTGATGAGGGCATCAAACGATTTAGATAAAGAAAAATTGGATATCATACTGGAGGGAGGGAGTATAGAAGAAGTGAATGTTTTCAGATATTTGGGAGTTGACTTTCAGTGGATGGGTTTATGAGGGCTGAGGTTAACCAAAGAAATGAAGAAAAAAAGGTGAGTGGTGCATTGAGGTATCTGTGGAGACAAAAAACGTTATCCATGGAGGCAAAGAAGGGAATGTACGAAAGTATAGTGGTACCAACACTCTTACATGGGTGTGAAACTTGGGTTTCAAATGCTGCAGTGAGGAGGCGGCTGGAGGCAGTGGAGATGTCCTGTCTAAGGGCAATGTATGGTGTAAATATTATACAGAGAATTCGGAGTGTGGAAATTAGGAGGTGTGGAGTTACTAAAAGTATTAGAGGGCTGAAGAGGGGTTGTTGAGGTAGTCTGGTCATTTAGAGAGGGTGGATCAAAGTAGAATGACTTGGAGAGTGTATAAATCTGTAGGGTAAGGAAGGTGGGGTAGGGGTCGTCCTTGAAAAGGTTGAAGGGAGGGGGTAAAGGAGGTTTTGTGAGCAAGGGGCTTGGACTTCCAGCAAGCATTTGTGAGTGTGTTAGATAGGAGTGAATGGAGACGAATGGTTTTTGGGACCTAACGAGCTGTTGGAGTGTGAGCAGGGTAATATTTTGTGAAGGGATTCAGGGAAACAGGTTAGCTGGACTTGAGTCCTCGAAATGGGAAGTACAATGCCTGCAATTTAAAGGAGGGGTTTGGGATATTGGCAGTTTGGGGGGACTTCTAATGCTGTTGTATCTGAGTGCCTCTGCAAAGACTGATTATGTATGAAGTGAAACTGTTGAATGATGATGAAAGTATTTTTCTTTTTGGGGATTTTCTTTTTTTGGGTCACCCTGTCTTAGTGAAAGACGGCTGGTGCATTGAAAAAAATAAAAAACTACAACAGAATCTATAGCAAAATTTAAGTTTATTAACAAATCGATCACTTCCCACCAAGGCGTGTGACCTCAGGGAAGGACATTTGCCACCACTCACTGCCTAACTGGCTTTCTAGAAGCACATACACATCACAATTCAAATGTCTCTTCTATTAATGACCTTTTAAAAAACAAAAGAACGATTTGAAGTTTTCACGTAGAATATAAAATCTTATTTATTACTATTCGGACAATACAACTGAATGAAAATGATCTCTGTGAGTAAATATAAAAATTTGTATTTCTATAATGTAAAAAAGCGTATTAAAAAAGAAAAAGTAGATGGGCATTTTTTTGCATGTTATCCAATGAACAGGAGTCTTAGAAACTAAAACTAACGCCAAAGATGATTTCTTATAAACTCTTAGAGCTTAATAACCTAATACCTTGTTGTAAGGAAAGAAAAGACTTACCAGATCATAGCTAAAATAATAATTATTAACTGCCAATTTAGTATTTCGCAGTTCTTTATAAACAAAGCATTCCATGAACTAAACCCAAGTCGTACATGTGTGGGCATGTTTTCAATTTTCATTTTGAATTCTGAAGGACTTGTGGTTTGGTCAGACACATGATTCACAGGGTGATTTGTTAATAATGATCCTGAATGGAACAAAATTATGTCAAAAGTTTTCTTGCCAAATTGTATGCTGCTCAGACACTTAAAGTTGGTGCCAGAACAGCTGGGCTGTGGTTTATATGTTGGACTACGTGTGGCCAGCAGACACAGTCTGATTTATCAGGCCCTGATCCACCGGGATTATTATTGGTATAATCATGGGGAAGTGCTAAACCCTTAGGATTATACAGCGCATGTGGGGGGGGGGGGAGATGGAAGGTATTCAAGATCAATTCAGGGAACTGGAGCACAGATCCAATTCCCTAGATCAAGAGCCCCTCACCAGCATCAAGGAACCTTCCTAGAGGGGTGATCTACCGGGAGGCCTGGTCATAGGCCGGGCCACAGGGGCGCTGATTCCCGGAATACCCTCCAGGTAGATTACAGGTAATAATGAACTGCTGTTAGAGCTAACAGTGTGTACTTAGAACACAAATAACTCGCATATAGGTGAATGAAACTATAATTAACAGTCCAGGTTGGACCGAAACGTTGTCATAGTTTCTTCCTCCTATGTGTGGGTTATTTGTGTATTTAAAAATGGTATGGTGATATCAATAAGATGTGGAAAAAGACATATACAGTTCAGGACATATATTAGAGGAATCATTGTGCCCTATGTGGCAAAACATTTCCTCAAATAAATGTCACGGACTTTACATAACTATTTTTTTCCACATATTTGTGTACTGTTCCAGTTATGGTATTGTGCCTTGTTCTTTACTTACCTGGTCATGGCCCGTTGAGCCTCTTGCTGCATTACTTTCTCCTCAGCAGTTAAGACACTCTCCACAGGTTGACCTGCGCCTATTACACGCTGTCGGGCCCAGGCCAACCGTTGTTCATCTTCTGTTTCGTCCACTACTACAGTACCGGGTTCCAGTTTATTTGGAGGGAATAACCGGGGAGAGTAACGCCCTGACGCATATGCCGAGATAGACGAGGCAATTGCTGCATCACCCTCGCACTCGGAATCCCATTCCTCTTCTCTGCCTCTGTTGAGGGATATGCAAAACTGTATTTAGAAACCTAAACAACACATACTTAACTTATAAAGTATATAACAAAGAATCTGTCTTGGGATACTTCATGAACAGAGCATTTTGGAACCAATTAATTTCTTACAAATGCTGATCTGCAGATACTAATACTGCAAACAATCGTAAATTATATAAAAATAATTTATTAATTTTTCGCCAAATGAAATGAGAGAGATAAAGTGAGTAAATACAGTCAAATCCCCAATTTGCATATCTTATACTCCACAACTCAAATAAAAACCATACGATAAAAACCATATGAAAATACACCACAAAGTCACTGTTTATACCAAATACATGGTCAGTTTTTTTTCTCATTATACACTGCTTGCTGCAGGATTTTATTTATATAGTGCACACTTATTGCATAAACCCATTCTCTTATATCTAGGCCCAGATTCACTGCTCACAGTTTTCTGACTGAGCTGAGCTCACGTGTAGTACTATGGGACTACCTTGGCTTCAAAGCTGTAGTATAATGGGACTAACCCTGAAAGGGGTTAATAGGTCTTGTTCTTCTGCATTTCCTCTTATCTCCACAGGGAAGTGGCAAAGAATCCTTCCTCTGTAACCCATGCATGTCGTAAGAAGTGACTAAAATTTTGGGAGCAAGGGGCTAGTAACCCATTTGTCTGTATAAATTACTAAATTTAAATAGAAAACTTTCTTTTTTAGGTCTTCTCAGTCATTAAAAACAATGAACACAGCCCCACTCCACAAAGGTGGCAGTAAAGCAATTACAGATTGATAGCACTAACGTCCCACATCATAAAAATCTTTGAAAGGGTTCTAAGAGGTAAGATTGTCACCCACTTAGATATCGATCACTTGCACAACCCAGGGCAGCATGGGTTTAGAGCAGGTCACTTCTGCCTATCCCAGCTACTGGTCTACTATGACATGGTCCTGGATGCTCTGTAGGACAAACAAAATGAAGATGTAGTATACACAGACTTTGCAAAAACCTTCGACAAGTGCGATCATGGAGTAACAGTACACAAAATGCATGATAAAGGAATAACAGGAAAAGATGGTAGAAGGATCTATAACATCCTAACAAACAGAACACAAAGATTAATAGTACACAGAGTAAAGTAAGAGGCAGCTACAGTGAAAAGCTCTGTTCCACAAGATACAGTACTTGCCCCCATCCTGTTCCTCATCCTCATTTCTGACACAGAGATGTAAGCCACAGCACCATGTCTTCCTTTGCAGATGACACCCAAATGTGCATGACAGTGTCATCTGTCATCCATCGAAGACACTGCAAGTCTCCAAGTGGACATCAACTAAATCTTTAAATGGGGCACAGAAAACAATACGAAGTTCAATGAAGACAAATTTCAATTACTATACTATAGAAAACTCGAGGAAATTAAATCTGTATCAGTGTATAAAACAAATTCCAACCACACAATAGAGCAAAAAACTAATGTGAAGAACCTGGGACTGATAATGTCAAAGAATCTCAATTTCAAATATCACAACAATGTATCTACTACATCTGCTGGAAAAATGATAGGATAGACAATGAGAACCTTCAAAACTAGGGATGCCAAGCTCATGATGATTCTCTTCAAATTGCTTCTCTCTAAGCTGGAATATTGTTGTACACTAATGGCCTCTATCAAGGCAGGCAAAATTGTAGACCTGAAGAATATACAGAGAACATTCATGACACACACGTATGATAAAGCACATAAATTGAAGTCCCTTGATTTGTACTCCCTGGAACACAAGCAAGAAAAATACATGATAATATACACTTGAGGAATTGTTAAATGTTGATGAAGATAAGGAAGCTGTGATATCGTGTACAGGGCAAGGGAGAATAACATCTTGTAAGAGTGTGGGGGGAAGTTCATGAGGCAGTGGGTAGAATGAAAGAGGGTAAGGCAGCTGGGATTGATGGGATAAAGACAGAAATGTTAAAAGCAGGTGGGGATATAGTTTTGGAGTGGCTGGTGCTTTTATTTAACAAATGTATGGAAGAGGGTAAGGTACCTAGGGACTGGCAGAGAGCATGCATAGTTCCTTTGTATAAAGGCAAAGGGGGCAAAAGAGAGTGCAAAAATTATAGGGGAATAAGTTTGTTGAGTATACCTGGTAAAGTGTATGGTAGTTATTATTGAAGGAATTAAGAGTAAGATGGAGAGTAGGATAGCAGATTAACAAGGAGGCTTTAGGAAAGGTAGGGGGTGTGTAGACCAAGCATTTACAGTGAAACATATAGGTGAACATTATTTAGATAAGGGTAAAGAGGATTTTGTGGCATTTATGGATCTGGAAAAGGCATATGACAGGGTGGATAGGGATGCAATGTGGCAGATGTTGCAAATACAGTGGACCCCCGGTTAACGATATTTTTTCACTCCATAAGTATGTTCAGGTGCCAGTACTGACCGAATTTATTCCCATAAGGAATATTGTGAAGTAGATTAGTCCATTTCAGACCCCCAAACATACACGTACAAACGCACTTACATAAATACACTTACATAATTGGTCGCATTCGGAGGTAATCGTTATGCGGGGGTCCACTGTATATGGAATAGGAGGTAGGTTACTGAAAGCAGTGAAGAGTTTTTACGAGGATAGTAAGGCTCAGGTTAGAGTATGTAGGAGAGAGAGGGAGATAATTTCCCAGTAAAAGTAGGCCTTTGACGAGGATGTGTGATGTCACCATGGTCGTTCAATTATTTATAGATGGGGTTGTAAGAGAAGTGAATGCTCAGGTGTTGACAAGAGGTGCGGGGTTAAAAGATAAAGAATCTAACACAAAGTGGGAGTTATCACAGTTGCTCTTTGCTGATGACACTGTGCCTTTGGGAGATTCTGACGAGAAGTTGCAAAGGTTGGTGGATGAGTTTGGAAGGGTATGTTAAAAGAAGAAAAAAGTGAATACAGAAAAGAGTAAGGTAATGAGGATAACAAAAAAATTAGGAGACAAAAGATTGGATATCAGACTGGAGGGAGAGAGTATGGAGGAGATGAATGTATTCAGATATTTAGGAGTGGACATGTCAGCAGACGGGTCTATGAAAGATGAGGTGAATCATAGAACTGAAGAGGAAAAAAAGGTGAGTGGTGCACTTAGGAGTCTGTGGAAATGAAGAGCTTTATCTAGGGAAGCAAAGAGGGGAATGTATGAAAGTATAGTTTTACCAACACTCTTATATGAGTGTGAAACATGGGTGGTCAATGCTGCAACAAGGAGAGGGTGGGAGGGAATGGAGATGTCATGTCTGAGGGTAATGTGTGGTGTGAATATAATGCAGAGAATTCATAGTTTGGAAATTAGGAGGTGTGGGATTACCAAAATTATCATCCAGAGGGCTGAGCAGGGGTTACTGAGGTGGTTCGGACATGTAGAGAGGCTGGAAGGAAATAGAATAACTTCAAGAGTGTATAAATCTGTAATGGAATGTAGGAGGGGAAGAGGTCAGCCTAGGAAAGGTTGGAGGGAGGGAGTAAAGGAGGTTTAGTGTGCGAGAGGCTTTGACTTCCACCAAGCATGTGTGAGTGTGTTAGATAGGAGTGAATGGAGACAAATGGTCTTTAGGACTTGACATGCTGTTGGAGTGTGAGCAAGGTAACATTTATGGAGGGATTCAGGGAAACTGGCAGGTCGGACGCGAGTCCTGGAGATGGGAAATACAGTGTCTGGACTCTGAAGGAGGGGTGTTAATGTTGCAATTTAATAACTGTAGTATAAATGTGCTTCTGGCAAGACAGTGATAGAGTGAATGATAAAAGTTTATCTCTTTTGGGCCATCCTGCCTTGGTGGGAGAAGGCTGATAAGTTAATAATAATAATAATACACTTGTAAAATCTTAGAGGAACTAGTCCCAAATCTGCACAAGAAAATCATTCCCCATTAAAGCAAAAGACTTGGCAGGAGATGCAACATCCCCCAAATGAAAAGCAGGGGTACCATTGGTATGTTAAGACACAACACAATAAGTGTCAGGGGCCCAAGATTGTTCCACAAGGCCTGGTCAAAGAAAGGGAGGTGGGGGAATTGACCCCAGAAATCCCTCCAGGTATACCCTGGCTCAGTGGAATACGGCATGTTTGTTGAAAACAAAATTATAAATAGAGATAAACTGTAAAGAATATGTGAATTTACTCTTCTCTATCATTTCCACTTTCATCTTTGTCCTCCTCTTCCTCCTCTTCCTCCTCCTCTTCTTCTTTACATATTTTGGATTCTTGCGAAGATTCATCACTGGATTCCACTTTTATTTCTGGCAGATCTTTGTTTTCAATATCTTCATCTTGTACTTCTTCCTCTTCTTTTACTCCTTGTTCTGCTTTGAGCATTTCCAGCTTCTTCCTGAGGTTGTCTCTGTGACGTTCGCGAAGTCTCGCTCGAGCTTGGTGAGCTGCGAGGAAAAAATTTGTTAATATCAGAAGCACAAAACTTACCTGCATTTAAAATGGTACAAAGGTAAAAATTACTCTAATGCAGAAGGATTCCGACTTATAATTGCAAACATCCACGCGTACAAATGGGGCACTTTAAAAATTTTCAACAGACGAAAATTGGTGCAAACGTGAAATACAACCGTCTTTTGTACTACTGTTTTCTATGCAAAAAATAAATTTTGTTTGCAATGTTGAAATATTAGAATGCAACTTAAAAAGATGAGGGGGTACTTATACCTCCTCCCATGGGAGACATAGGTCTCGAGATACTCCCCAGATAGGGAGCCAAGGCCGGGTCACCACTACTTGGAAAAGACCCGGGCCAGGAGAATACCGGCGAATAAAAAAAAAAAAAAAAAAAAAAAAAAAAAAAAAAAAAAAATATATATATAAAGTTAAACACTAGAATGCAAACTGTTTGCAGGCTGATAAACCAGGAATGCAACTTATCTGCAAGTTGACAAGTCAAGAATACACCTTATTTGTATTCAGAAACACTAAAATTCAACTTACTGCAGGTTGAAAGATCAGGAACACAATTTGTTCACAAACTGAGAACAAAGACTGCAATTTGTTTGGAAATTAGGAACCTCCAGTACATAAAATCTGAATTAATCAGTGATGTTTGATAGGGTCACAATCTTAATGTGAAATGCCATTATTAAGAACCAAGATCTGAAGATGATGGTCAATATCATTACAGCCTCTCCTCACTTAGTGATGTACTCATTTACCAATGATTCAGACTTACGACGGGCTCTCTGACCAGTATGCATACCTAAATAATGTATATTCGAGCTGATTTCCTCTGTTCTGTTTATTACAATATTCAGTACAGAATGACTTTGAGAGAGTATAAATCTGTAGTGGAGGGAAGGTGGGGTAGGGGTCGGCCTAGGAAGGGTTGGAGGAAGGGGGTAAAGGAGGTTTTGTGTGCGAGGGGCTTGGACTTCCAGAAAGCGTGCGTGAGCATATTTGATAGGAGTGAATGGAGACAAATGGTTTTTGATACTTGACGTGCTGTTGGAGTGTGAGCAAAGTAACATTTATGAAGGGATTCAGGGAAACCGGCAGGCTGGACTTGAGTCCTGGAGATGGGAAGTACAGTGTTTGCACTCTGAAGGAGGGATGTTAATGTTGCAGTTTTATAATTGTAATATAAAGCACCCCTCTGGCAAGACAGTGATGGAGTGAATGATGATGAAAGTTTTTCTTTTTCAGGCCACCCTGCCTTGGTGGGAATTGGCCAATGTGTTAATAAAAAAATACTGTATAAACATTTAAAATATACAAGAAATGTTATAAATGGTGCAAAGGTGACATTAAAACAATATCAGAGATGGTTGACAAACCCACTACCATTATATTATGCTCCTCTCTTAGCGACGAATTTGTTTACCTGCATGGTCGCAGGAATGGAACTCTGTCATTAAGTGAGGAGAGGCTGTATTTTCCATGGGGAACAAAAAGACAATTATTTGATTTTTTCCTCTTGTTAAGATAAAGATGTTTATTTCATTAAAATACAATGAGGTTGCATCTGGTCTTAGAGTTTGCATAATTATAGCTTTAGGAAACCATTATATTACATAATCTAAAAACAGTCCATTATTATGTATAGCATTTCAGACCTTATGGCTTTGCACTGTCTCCAACTGATTTCCATATTTAAAGAAAAAAATTGCAGTTAGGTTTAAAATGTCTCTACAGTTTAATTTTACCACATTAAAACGGCATGGTTCATGAAGAATTAAACGTGTGCAACATCTGGGGATATTTATTTGCAGACATTTTGCCATCCAATTACATTATCAATACAAATTCAAGGACATAATGGGAAACTGTAGAACTATATATAAAAGATGAGGTAATCCATCCTTTAACCTTGGAGTTGGTGATGAGCACAGTAGTCTTCAATACTACTGTGATGAGAAAATCAGTCCCTCAGCCTTGGAGGCTGAGAGATTGATTACCTCATCTTTTGTATACAGTTCTACAATCTTTTCATTATGCCCTTGAATTTGTATTGATAAAGCCACTGGATGGTGAAATATCAACAAATAAAGATACCCAGATGTTGCACGTGTCTAATTCTTCATGTTGTGGGTACGTATTGTATACCATTTATGTACAGCATGGTTCATACCTTTAAGTTGCGACAGAAGGGATTCCCAATAACCAATGTCCAGGCCAGTCGTGGGTCCAGACAATTTGGCCTCAATATTCAACTGCAATTTATTTAGTTCCGAGAGCGACTTATTTTGAAAGACAGAGGACACATCAGCTGCTACTGCTGCATGAATACCCTGACGATGAGTGGTGGCATCTTCTATGGTGTCTCGCTGACGTAAACGGCGAAGTTCGTCTTGGACAATAATAGTCAAGTCAGTCCAATATGTTTGGTTTATACCCTGCGAAGAGAACAGCGTTGAAATGTCTAGTCAAAATATGTAACAATGAATCTCAACATAATCTCGTCCACTTAAGTAAAATGCAGTGATAGTGTTGAACGAGGGCAAGTGGAACTGAAGCCCCATCATTCCTATCAGCCCTCAGATAAAAATAACAGTAATAACACTCAGCTTTAAAATAAGTCCCATAAACCTCCTTTTCAACTAGAATGCCACACATTGGCCCTCTATACAAATACTGGAGTTGCTCCTGGTAAAAGGCAACTAATGTTGAGAGCTGCTGTGAAGAAAAAAAAAAGGAAGTGCAGCCATATGCTTAAACTGATCCATAGTTGAAGTTCAAGCAATTCTTAAACTGTTAAACCTCATTCCTTATTCTCTACATAATATTCACATCTTCTTTCAACAAACCAGCTGTATCCCACGAAGGCAGGGTGGCCTGAAAAGAAAAACAAAAGTTTCTCTTTCTAACTTTATTAATGTATACAGAAGAAGGGGTTGCTAGCCCCTTGCTGCCAGCATGTTAGTCGCTTTTTATGACACATGGCTTACGGAGGAAGACTTCTGTTCCACTTGCTCATGGAGATAAAAGGAAATAAACAAGAACAAGAGCTAGTAAGAAAATAGAAGACACCCAGAGGGGTGTGCATATATACGCTTGTACATGAATGTGTAGTGTGACCTAAGTGCAAGTAGAAGTAGCAAGACATATCTGAAACCTTGCATGTTTATGAGGCAGAAAAAAGACACTAGCACTCCTACCATCAAGTAAAACAATTACAGGCTTCCGTTTTACACTCACTTGGCAGGACGGTAGTACCTCCCTCGGGGGTTGCTGTCTACCAGTCTACTACCCAGGTATCATTATAATTATTAGTATTAGTGTTATTACAGCTTCTCCTCACATAGAGATGTCCTCGTTGACCGACCACTCGGACTTATGACCAGCTTTCCAACCAGTATGCAAACCTAAGTAATGTATATTAGAGATGATTTCCTCTATTCTATTTATTACAGTATACAGTACACTACTGTATGAACATTTAAAAATACACTAGAAATGTTATAAATGGTGCAAAGGTGACATTAAAAAAATATCTAAAGATAGTTGACAAAAACCCACTACCAGTATAGTGTGCTCCTCACTTAATGACCAATTCACTTACTGACCTACTTTTAGGAACAGAACCCCATCATTAAGTGAAGTGAGGCTTTATTATTATTAAAGTAATTGCAACATTTAAAAAGGCTATGCTTTAAAAACCATAAAATAAAACTATTAAAAAAAAATTTTTCTTCACCAAAAATTTAAAAATCCCCCACTTTGTGTCTCTTTTGATTCTGTTTTTAACTCTTCTATCTTTTACCTTATTTGCATTCATCATTATTCACATGAGATATAATTAACAAAATGTTAACTCTAACGAAACACAGAGTGACTTTACCTCTTTTTCTAATTGCATGTATACTTTAATGTCCTCCAGAAGGTCTTCTAGATCCATAAGTGTAAGTCCTGTCAGGTGGGGTGTATGGTTCATGCATGTCCATGCTGATACATCCTTCTGAATTACATCTGAGCTAGAAGATAATTGGCTTAGCAGTCCATCCTAAATTCGAATTTGTGAACGAACCCGTGTGATGTAGAATGTTTTTATTAGGACAAGGGCTAAAGATAGAGTGCAAATGTGAAAGTTCGTTTAATGTCTGAAAGTCACCCCAAAGCATTAAAATTTTTTCTTTCCCTTATTGGAATAAATTCTAGGAACAATAGCATGTTAAAATTTAAAAGTTTTGTAGCTTTTAAAAATTATAAGGAAAAACTACAGTGAATTTAAAAAAAACCCCCTGATTCAAAGTAGTGCAGTTCATAGCAAAGGGGAAAATTACAAATACCATAATATTTCAAAAATTATATAAAAAAATTGAAAATTTAAAATTTCATTACCCAGCTTGCTCCAAAATTGAATTGGTCTTCTGCTTAGAAAACTGTGAGAACGTGCTGCTCCCCTTTTTCGTGTTTCCCGCTCCATCATTTTCTCCCCCTCTAGCTTCCCCCAAATTTTGCTTTAGTCGCTTCTTAACCTTCTCCCGCTCCATTTTTTTTCATCCATCTTTTCACGATTCTGCTTTTCAATGTCCTCTCTTAAAAGTAAATAAGAGAAAACTTAGATTTTTTTTTTCCCAACAAGTCGGCAGTCTCCCACCGAGGCAGGGTGACCCAAAGAGAAAGAAAATCCCCAAAAAGAAAATACTTTCATCATCATTCAACACTTTCACCTCACTCACACATAATCACTGTTTTTGCAGAGGTGCCCAGAATACAACAGTTTAGAAGTATATACGTATAAAAATACACAATATATCTCTCCAAACTGCCAATATCTTAAACCCCTCCTTTAGAGTGTAGGCATTGTACATCCCATTTCCAGGACTCAAGTCCGCTTATATAAAATAACCGGTTTCTCTGAATCCCTTCACTAAATATTACCCTGCTCACACCCCAAGAGATCGTCAGGTCCCAAATACCATTTGTCTCCATTCACTCCTATCTAACACGCTGTGTATCCATAAACAGGTTCACCAACTTACAAATGAACTGCGTTCAAAAATGTTCAACATACAAATGAGGTGTTGCAAAGAAAATAACTAATCAAAGGATGTTTATGCTTCACAGATATCCATATTAAGAGTCCTGTTTATAAGTGCATACGTGTATAACTTGGTGTGTTTGTAACTTGAAATTATAAATATAATCCTGTTATTTTTAAACTACAATCCACAGGATGGATACGGGGCACATAAATAAACTGTAAGAGAATTATCATAAAATTTTTGGAACCAGTAAACCTGTATAGATCATTTAGAATTGCAAGGGAAAGGTAAGCTAGATGGTGGAGGTTCTTAGGCCTTCAATATGTTGACTCCAAAGAATAGTGAGTCTACATTAAAGATGGTACCATCTAGAGCAGAGAGTAAATAATGTACAAGGAAAATACAATAGTCCTCGCTAAAATGAAATTTTTTAGCATATCGGCCATCTTCCACCAAGGTAAGGTGATTCCAAATTAAACACATTCACTGCCATTCATTCAATGCCTGTCTTGTCAGAAATGTGCTGACATCACAGTTCAGATCCTCCCTCTGAACTGCAGCATCCTCACCCCTTCTTTAGAGATGAAGGCACTGCACTTCATGCCTCAAATCTGACTAACTGGTTTCCTCTGAATTCCTATATAAATGTTACCTTGTTCACACTCCAACAGCATATCAGGTCATAAAACCTTACCCCACCTAGTTCCAACCCCTACTGGGACAACCCCTAACCAACTTATCATACTCTTAATATTGACAGGACTGAATGCTTCTCTCATATAATTATTATAACAATTAATGTACAATGAAACTGGTAAATCTGTTTTGTTTTAAGGCCATACCTGGAGATGTCAGTGAGGCCTTCCTTTTCTAATTTCTTGTTCCACACAAATGTATCGAGTAAGTTATTATCCCCATATGGGTTATCTGCATTTGTGAAATGAAGGTATTCACTATCCCAACCCATCTTCTCCTTTCTTTTCCTCTCCTTGGCTTCCTGAGGATTAAAAAAAAATGTTGTAGAGCAGACGATAAAAAAAATTTAATGTGCAGTTACCTTTGATTTAATGGATTAATGAAGGATAAGTGGACAGCTGGTGATGACCAGTGTGATGGATGAATATGAGAATGCTTTACAGTAACCATAACAATATGGGATTTTTCTGTGACTAACAGACCTTGTCTGCTGTTTCCTAATCATACGAGGAATCAATGTGCTCCGTAAATATCATAATTACTACCACTCCAAATCATCTGACTCAGGAGATTTAGTCCTGTATTTCCTGTTAAATCAAGGTCCATGAAATCAACTATTAACAGTGTAAATCAATTTATATAATAGAGAATTCTGCATCTGGCACTTTGATAATACTGAAATGTTATTACAATCTCTCCTCACTTAATGACAGAGTATCGTCCCTCAGAGTTGGCTGGTAAATGAACTGGTCGTTAAGCGACCAGTGGGTAGTGGGTTTGTGTCAACCATCTTTAAATATTGTTTCGATGTCATCTTTGCAGCATTTATAACATTTTTAGTATATTTTTAAATGTTTATACAATAATATACTGTATATTGTAATAAACAGAACACATGAAATCAGCTCTAATATACATTATTTAGGTACGTATACTGGTCAGAGAGCCCGTTAATAAGTCCAAGTGATCTTTAAATGAGTATGCCATTAAGTGAGGAGAGAGTGTATTATATTAAAGAGAAAGTGTTAAACCCATAAGGGGTCATTGAAAACTTGGAAAATCATATATGATCCAAAGTAGGGAAGAGTAGCTCTAAATCCTTGAATTGAAGCCTTCAACACTAGCAACAAGGTACCCCTCTTCCTCCCCTTGAAGGGTACTGTAATGGAAAAGCAATAATAGCAAAAATTAGGGAGCTGGTTAGTAGAGCAATCTGCCAAGTAGGGTCACTGAAGCTAGTTTCTTGGGTAACTTTAATAATAGATTAGACAAATATGTGGGTGAGAAGGGTTGAATGTGAGGCCCTGCTAAATATGGGCCAGTAGGCCTGCTGCAGTTTCTCTATTCATACATTCTTAAGATGCAAGTACATATACCTTCTTCTGGAGTCTACGTAATCTTTTTTCCGCTGGCGTTTCCATCAGTTTCTTGGCTTTCTTTTGCTTTATTTTGTCCTCCTTGGCCTTCTTCCTTTCCTCTTGTAGGCGCTGCAGTAACTTGGTATCGTCTTCAGAGCTGAACTCGTCAAAACTTTCAGATGAAGTTGATGAAGATGAAGATTTCCTTGACCTTTTGATATCTTTTTTGTTGCTTTTCTTGTATTTAGATTTACTTTTTGATGACAAATCCTCAGAATGGGATACAAATCTATGACTCTCTCTGTAATTATAACTGCTGATCTCTCTTGATCTAGACCACTGCTTTTCCCTTCCTTGACCTAAAGATTGTACCTGTTTCTTTTCTCTGTCAATTAAGTGTGACCTCTGTCTTTCTCTCTCTATTGATCGTGATCTCTCCGATTTTCTGCTTTTATCCCTGTCCCGTGACCTTGATCTATGATTTTTCTTGTGATCCCTGCGTTCTCTGTGTCTTGATGAAGATCTTGAACGTGAGCGCCTGTAGTGCACGCTCTCTCGAGAACTGGATCTTGAATATGATCTGCAGAAATACAAGTTATAAAATGTTTCGTGAAAGTAACAGTAGCACAATTCATCCTAACAAAACTTTAATTATATAAGTACTGTTAAGAATACTATTATCGATTAAAAATATTATTGCTGAATTAATTCTGCATCCTTGAAGTTTTATATGAAATTACTCACTAATATCCTGAGATTTCAAGAAATAACCCAAAAACTTAGGTGTCAAGGGCATATATGTATGGTAGAGGAAGTAGTCACATATTGAAAAATATATAATCTAGTTAAAATGTTACAAAAATTCATGATATTGCTATGCTCAGTAGTGTCTAAAAGACATCCATTGTAACCCCTGCAACCCTCTCTTAACCCTTTCAGGGTTTCGGCCGTACTAGTACGGCTTACGCACCAGGGTTTTTGGCATACTAGTACACCTAAATTCTAGCGTCCTCAAATCTAGTGAGAGAAAGCTGGTAGGCCTACATATGAAAGAATGGGTCTATGTGGTCAGTGTGCATGGCATAAAAAAAATCCTGCAGCATAGAGTGCGTAATGAGAAAAAAAAAAACTTTTACTGTGTTTTTGGATTAAAACAGCGACTTTGCACTGTATTTTCATATGGTATTTATTGTTGTATTCTAGTTTTCCTGGTCTCATTTTATAGAATGGAAGACATATTACAGAAATTGAGATGATTTTGACTGGTTTTACAAAGAAAAGTACCTTGAAATTGAGCTCAAAGTAGCAGAAATGTTTGATTTTTACCAAAGTTCAAAAGTAAACAAATCATGCTATGCGTCCAATACACATCAAATGGTGAGTCTAATATTCTTTCACAAGTGCGATGGTATTATTTATACCATTTCTACACTAATGCAGTAGTCTGCATAACAGTAAATCTTCTATTATTTTGTGAGAATAAAAATTCAAAGTGGAAAGCAAAAGAATGTAAGAGGGGCCTGGGGATGTGTGACTAATGAACAGAGGAAATGTTATTTTAGTGCCAGGAATGTCTTTCTTGTTTATTCTGGACCCTATTCGGAAATTGTCATCTTTTGAAATTTGTGTGAAATTGGCAAAATCGCTAAATTTTGACGACTGTATTGGATAGTTGAAATCGGTAAATGGGTGGTTTCTTGTATTTATTCGATAGAAAAAAATGGAGTTCTAGCAAAATAGGTATGATTTTTGTCAACAAGCACACTGGAATTGGCCGAAAATAGGGCTCAAAGTGGGCAAAATCACCAATGCGCAAACATCGTCGAGACCACTAGCTTCGCGAGAGTATAATTCTGTACTTTTGGTGTCATTATGATCGGGAAAAGGTTCTCTATCTTTTCATAAGAAAAAATAATTTTTTTTTTTAAATTTGGCCGACCCTGAGAACAAGTCTCTGAGAGGGCCTGTCGACCCTGAAAGGGTTAATACTACCACTTACAGGATAAGCATGGCATTGCAAAAATTTTTATGTTAGATTTATCCCTGTGATAACTACATTGGCTGGAGTTACCTTTGCTATATTATACATTTATATTAAACCCTTAATTTAGTATAGTAAGAGGGAAAAGTGGGTGGCTGGAAAATGTAAATTGTGGACAGAGATGATATTTTCTTCATAATCATAACAATAACAAATAATTCTGCAACAAACAGACTTAGCTGTTACCAAATCAAATGAGACTGCAGGTTTCATCAGGACCTTAAATTCCAATATTAACCTTGACCTAAAACGCTTTCTTGATAGTTGTGACAGAACCCACAGGCACAACACCAGACACAAACATCTCTGTGACATTCCCCGTGTCCGACTAAACCTTTACAAAAATTCAATGTATGTCAAAGGCCCTAAAATCTGGAACACCCTACCTGAAAATTCCAAAACTGCAGACACATTCATCACCTTCAAAACTACCATCAGAAAACATCTTATCTCCCTGATACACCCTGTCAACTAATAATACAAATACCACCTGGTGGTTCACACTTACACTCACTCACCCATTTGACCATAAACAGAAATATCAATCTCAATCTCAAAATAATGAATCTTAACTAGTCAAAAGTTGGCCTGTGATACTCCAATACTGAAACTATGTATAGTGCCAAAACAAAAGCATTCACATTGCTAAACTCACAACTAGTATTTAGTCACTTAGCCATAATACCAACTTATCTCATAATTCTGTAACATTTTAAACCTAAGATTTAATATAAGTCTGACCGAAATGCCTAGCCATGCTAGGCGTTCTAGTGGTACACTCTGTAGGAATTTCTGTAGGAATTTGGGACACCGTCAGCGTGCCTCGTTGTGCTCCCGGCTTTCTGGTGTTTTCACGGTCGCTCTTACGTGCTAGAACTTTAATTTGTGTCATCAATCCTATACGATACATCCCTCTAGCGCCTGGAACCAATCTTGGGCGGAAAACATTATATACTGAGTCAAAAAAGGAGAATTAGTGTGCATTACCTAGCAGAGTTTACTGCCAGAGGGGAATCATAGGCCTGTTTCCCGTGTGAAAAAAATAATAATAATTGAACGTTGTGTCAGAGGAAAGAAAGTCTCCCTGAAAGCATTGAGTATACATAGTGTATAGTGTATACTACAGTGGCTCCCTAGTATATTGATGATAAAGGCTAAAGTGTCATTTGAAAACAGGTGAATTTGTAAATGAAGTGATAAGCCTATAGAGGCAGGTGCCAGAAGTCGCCAGAAACTTACCACACAGGTCAGCTGTTTTTAATAATCTTCCTGGCCTGCTACTGTACTCGCAATAATCTAGTGATACCAGTGAATAGCAGAATACAGTGTTGTAGTAGCAACTAACCAGTATTATAATGGTACTTAGTGGAGTGGAGTGACTTTCATTAGTTTCTTTTCTTGAAATACGAGACGTTACTGTGAATTTCATATAACCTGTAGTTACCAGCGGTCGCAATATACACAACGAGAAGCAATTATTACTACAGAAAAAGCGTCCTTCCTCCAAAATTTGCACCAGTCAACTATAGTGATAATATAGCATTTATTGTGGTGGAGACGGAAAAACAAAAATAGAAAAGCCAGATACAGCGATTGATAAACAAAGAGGTCGACTGTACGTCATTGTAGGAGCTGCCAGATATCACCGCTCTTCAACACGCAGTTATACTTTTGTATCAGTCAAATCACATATTACTCGGTAGATAATTTCCAGTAGATCCTTCATGTGTTAGCTCAAATCACCGACCAGTATGTTTTAAATAAGTGACCCACTGATCAGAGCAGATCGACTGGTCCGAACCCTTGACTGGTCCGAACCCTTGACTGGTCCGAACCCGGGACTGGTTTCAAACAGTTTCGTTGGACAATAAAGCAGACTGTAAACGGATGGGTTTGTAGGCGCCCTTATAAACACAAACATTAAAAATCAGGAACGTGACGGTAAGCTGTCCAATATACAAAAAGAGTTAGAAACAGAATACAAATAGCTAGAGCTTCATTTAAGGTTATTAATATAATATTCAAGAGGTTGCTAGTAGACTTGCAGTAAATCAACCATTCAAATCATTATGAAGCTGTGTGTAGTCTGTGGTCAGTCAAACAAACGGGCTACCACATGGATAAATTGTCATTTTTGTGGAAATTGGTGTCACGCTCCTTGTGCAGATATCCCAGAACTAGCTACAAGCAGTATTAAAACAGAGAAGTGTTTTTGGGTATGCCCAAATGAGAAAATCTGTGGACTAAAATCACAAGGGTATAATAAAGAGGATAACATCAAAGCTGCTTCATAGAAAACCTGGAAGCTTTCTACAACAGATGGGAACATAAAAAGTCCGGGCTGAATGGTACTGCCCTTGATACTGGCCATGTAGTCACAAACTGTAAGGCTGGAGGTGATGTCCTGGTATCAGTAAATGTAGGGCTGATAGTGCTGTCCTGGGAGACAGTAATGGTGAAGCTGGAGGTGCTGTCCTGGGAGACAGTAATGGTGAAGCTGAGATACTGTCCTGGGAGACAGTAATGGTGAAGCTGGAGGTGCTGTCCTGGGAGACAGAAATGGTGAAGCTGGAGATACTGTCCTGGTAGACAGTAATGGGTGAAGCTGGAGATTTTGTCCAGGTTAGTCGGGAATTATACCAGGAAGGAATACATATAAATGACCTCATAGAGGACAGGAGCCATAGTAGGAAACAAGTGTAGTCAAAGATAAGATAAAAACCAATATTGCAAACCAGAAATACCGCAGGAAATAGCAAACAAGAGGACTCCAATAGCAATAGTGAGGATAAATTACCAAAACAACTGGTGGGAGCTCCATTGTTGGTGCTAAGGAGGATAGGAATAAGACAGGGAAACATGCACCAACAGGGAATACAGTCACAGAAACCCAAGGCAAACGGAAACCAAGCCTGTGCACATACTATGCACTTGGTATCTGCTGGCATGGGAAATCTGGAAAACAGATGGGACATGCAACTATGACCACCCTAGAAAATGTCATGCCCATAGACAACAGGAAAATGCAAACTCCCTTCCTGTAAGCTTTTTCACCCTGAAATGTGTACCTCTTCAGTACAGGAAAGACTGTGCTATAACTTAAATTGCCAGGCATACCATCTAAAGGGGACAAAAAGATACAAAACATCCAGGCCATGGGAAAACCTGGGTAGCCACAGCCACTCAAGAGGGAGAGGTTTTTTAGTGCCTGGAAGGAAAAAAAACTGGCAGGAAATGGCAGAAATCGTACACCAAATCCAGTCATTCCTGGAGTGGAACCACAGTCGATGGCCTCCACTCCAAACCAACAGATACAGATACTAATGCCGGAAAAAAAAATCCCCCCCAGTACCAACAATACCACCAGTCCGATAACATTCTTCTTTGCAAATATACAGGGTCTAAAGCCAGCAATAAACAACAAAATACCTTTCATCCGTGGACTGCTTGCAGAGGCAAAGGCAATGTTCGCGGCTTTCACTGAGACCCACATAAAGGATCACTTGGACAACGAAATATGGATCCCAGGTTACAACCTATACAGATGTGACAGAGTGAACAGGCAAAAGGGGGGGGTTGGCCTGTACATTGCAGAGTCACTTGTTTGCACAGAAACTGCTTAATGCCTCAAATGACGTAGTGGAAGTTTTAGCAGTAAAGGTCGAGAACCAAAACCTAGTCATTGTGGTAGTCTACAAGCCTCCGGATGCAACATCCCAGCAATTCCAGGAACAGCTGTTAAAAATTGACCACTGTCTGGAAAATCTTCCAGCTCCTGCACCCAACATCTTGCTCCTGGGGATTTCAACTTAAGCACCTAAAATGGAGGAATATAGCAAATAATATTGTTGCAGTAATAACACCAGGAGGCAGCTCTGATGAAAACTCACACTCACACGAGCTTTTAAATCTCTGCACAAAATTCAATTTAAACCAGCAAATAATAGAGCCTACTAGACTGGAGAATACACTAGACCTCATCTTCACTAACAATGATGATCTGATAAGAAATGTCACCATATCAAAAACAATATACTCAGATCACAACATAATTGAGGTTCAGACATGTATGCGTGGAGCCTCAGACCGACAAAATGAGACTAGTCACGAGGGAGCATTCACCAAATTCAACTTCAATAACAAAAACATAAAGTGGGACCAAGTAAACCAAGTCCTAACCGATATAAGCTGGGAAGATATACTAAGCAACACAGACCCAAACTTATGCCTAGAACAGATTAACTCGGTGGCACTCGATGTATGCACAAGGCTTATTCCTCTAAGAAAAAGGAGGAGTAGATGTAAAATAGAAAGAGACAGGCGCTCCCTTTACAGGCGACGGAAAAGAATAACAGAGCGGCTAAAAGAGGTCAATATATCAGAAATGCGCAGGGAGACACTGGTCAGAGAAATAGCAAGCATCGAACTTAAGCTAAAAGAATCCTTTAGGAGTCAGGAATCGCGGAAGAACTAAAAGCCATAAATGAAATCGAAAGAAACCCAAAGTATTTCTTCTCCTATGCCAAATCAAAATCGAGAACAACGTCCAGTATTGGGCCCCTACTTAAACAAGATGGGTCCTACACAGATGACAGCAAGGAAATGAGTGAGCTACTCAAGTCCCAATATGACTCAGTTTTTAGCAAGCCGCTAACCAGACTGAGAGTCGAAGATCAAAATGAATTTTTTATGAGAGAGCCACAAAATTTGATTAACACAAGCCTATCCGATGTTATCCTGACGCCAAATGACTTCGAACAGGCGATAAATGACATGCCCATGCACTCTGCCCCAGGGCCAGACTCATGGAACTCTGTGTTCATCAAGAACTGCAAGAAGCCCCTATCACGAGCCTTTTCCATCCTATGGAGAGGGAGCATGGACACGGGGGTCGTCCCTCAGTTACTAAAAACAACAGACATAGCCCCACTCCACAAAGGGGGCAGTAAAGCAACAGCAAAGAACTACAGACCAATAGCACTAACATCCCATATCATAAAAATCTTTGAAAGGGTCCTAAGAAGCAAGATCACCACCCATCTAGAAACCCATCAGTTACACAACCCAGGGCAACATGGGTTTAGAACAGGTCGCTCCTGTCTGTCTCAACTACTGGATCACTACGACAAGGTCCTAAATGCACTAGAAGACAAAAAGAACGCAGATGTAATATATACAGACTTTGCAAAAGCCTTCGACAAGTGTGACCATGGCGTAATAGCGCACAAAATGCGCGCTAAAGGAATAACAGGAAAAGTTGGTCGATGGATCTATAATTTCCTCACTAACAGAACACAGAGAGTAGTCGTCAACAGAGTAAAGTCCGAGGCAGCTACGGTGAAAAGCTCTGTTCCACAAGGCACAGTACTAGCTCCCATCTTGTTCCTCATCCTCATATCCGACATAGACAAGGATGTCAGCCACAGCACCGTGTCTTCCTTTGCAGATGACACCCGAATCTGCATGACAGTGTCTTCCATTGCAGACACTGCAAGGCTCCAGGCGGACATCAACCAAATCTTTCAGTGGGCTGCAGAAAACAATATGAAGTTCAACGATGAGAAATTTCAATTACTCAGATATGGTAAACATGAGGAAATTAAATCTTCATCAGAGTACAAAACAAATTCTGGCCACAAAATAGAGCGAAACACCAACGTCAAAGACCTGGGAGTGATTATGTCGGAGGATCTCACCTTCAAGGACCATAACATTGTATCAATCGCATCTGCTAGAAAAATGACAGGATGGATAATGAGAACCTTCAAAACTAGGGAGGCCAAGCCCATGATGACACTCTTCAGGTCACTTGTTCTATCTAGGCTGGAATATTGCTGCACTCTAACAGCACCTTTCAAGGCAGGTGAAATTGCCGACCTAGAAAATGTACAGAGAACTTTCACGGCGCGCATAACGGAGATAAAACACCTCAATTACTGGGAGCGCTTGAGGTTTCTAAACCTGTATTCCCTGGAACGCAGGAGGGAGAGATACATGATTATATACACCTGGAAAATCCTAGAGGGACTAGTACCGAACTTGCACACGAAAATCACTCACTACGAAAGCAAAAGACTTGGCAGACGATGCACCATCCCCCCAATGAAAAGCAGGGGTGTCACTAGCACGTTAAGAGACCATACAATAAGTGTCAGGGGACCGAGACTGTTCAACTGCCTCCCAGCACACATAAGGGGGATTACCAACAGACCCCTGGCAGTCTTCAAGCTGGCACTGGACAAGCACCTAAAGGCAGTTCCTGATCAGCCGGGCTGTGGCTCGTACGTTGGTTTGCGTGCAGCCAGCAGCAACAGCCTGGTTGATCAGGCGCTGATCCACCAGGAGGCCTGGTCACAGACCGGGCCGCGGGGGCGTTGACCCCCGAAACACTCTCCAGGTAAACTCCAGGTAATTATTATTTTACTACATGTAAACCACACAATAACCAAATTCTGTAAACTCAGCATTGTAATACTTATAGAGAATAAAGTTTGAATTTGAATTTGAATTTCAAGTCTATTAAACTGAGGGCAACTGGAATATCATATATATACTGCATATTTAAGGTACACAACACAATAACTCTCATGAAAAAAAAATAATTTAGAAGAATTGTAGGTCTGTTCTAGATTAAGTAATATGTAGATTTTGTATATATAGCATAACTATGCTGTTGAGTAATACACAATACTGCACAACATAGATTTAACACAACCTATATGAAGGTTTCGGTCAGGAGTTTTAGTAACCCAGGATAACCCAACCAAGCCAGTTTAATTAGTGTCTGGTTTGTTTCCACTGGGGGATCTTTAATCTCCCCCAAGATGTGACCCGAAAAAGTCCATTAACACGCAGGGACCTACTTAGTGCTAGGCGAGCAGGGACAACTGGTGTGAAAAAATAAATTACATGGCCTAACATTTCCACTGGTCCGGGGATCGAACCCAGGTCCCTCAGTGTGTGAAATGAGACCACTAACAAACAGATTATAGTTATGAGGGAAGAGCTAAACCCACAGACGTCATAGAGGTCTGGGGAATGGGATGAAATCATGCGTGATCCGAGGAAGTGAAAGGTTAAGAGCCCATCAGCAGCATCAATGCACGTAAGGTGCTCGTCACCACCCCTCGTCTTTCATGTTTTACTCTTTTTATTCACAAATTCACTACCTTTTCTTCTTTTTCTTGACATCTTTACGGCTTGTTCGTTCACGAGACTTATCACGATCACTGCCCATCACTGCCGTTCACAGCAACTCGAGACAATTTCACGAGTAACAACAAATACGTTTGTTGTTGTTGGGTTTTAGGGCGGTGAGGGTCTTGGGGCCGTATTGAACCTTCCCTCCGCGGCGTCCGGACTCGCTCTAACATGAACCGGTCACGCTCTTAAGTACCTAAGTTTATTCAGGTACAGACACCTGGAGTTTACCCGGAGAGAGTTTCGGGGGTCAATGCCCCCGCGGTTCGGTCTCAGATCAGGCCTCATGGTGGATCAGGGTCTAATCAACCAGGCTGTTATTGCTGGCCGCTGGCAAATTGAAGTACGAACCACAGCCCGTCGGTCAGGAACTGACTTTAGGTGCCTGTTCAGTGCCTTCTTGAAGACAGCCAGGGGTTTATTGGTAATTCCCCTTATGCATGCTGGGAGGCAGTTGAACAGTCATTGGCCCCTGACACTTACTGTGTTGTGTCTCAGTGTACCCATACACGTAAATACAGTTACATAAATTATCATACACAGCAGCATATGTGTAGATTACCTAGGATAACCCAAAAATGTCAAAGTGGCAAATTTCCGTTGAGGATTTTATATACAACTGCTACTAAAACTACTACTACTACTACTACTACTACTACTACTACTACTGCTGCTGCTGTTATTACTGCTACTGTTATTACTGCTACTGCTGCTGTTATTACTACTACTGCTGCTGTTATTACTACTACTGCTGCTGTTACTACTACTACTGCTGCTGTTATTACTACTACTGCTGCTGTTATTACTACTACTGCTGCTGTTATTACTACTACTGCTGCTGTTACTACTACTACTGCTGCTGTTATTACTACTACTGCTGCTGTTATTACTACTACTGCTGCTGTTATTACTACTACTGCTGCTGTTACTACTACTACTGCTGCTGTTATTACTACTACTGCTGCTGTTATTACTACTACTGCTGCTGTTATTACTACTACTGCTGCTGTTATTACTACTACTGCTGCTGTTATTACTACTACTGCTGCTGTTATTACTACTACTGCTGCTGTTATTACTACTACTGCTGCTGTTACTACTACTACTGCTGCTGTTATTACTACTACTGCTGCTGTTATTACTACTACTGCTGCTGTTATTACTACTACTGCTGCTGTTATTACTACTACTGCTGCTGTTATTACTACTACTGCTGCTGTTATTACTACTACTGCTGCTGTTATTACTACTACTGCTGCTGTTATTACTACTACTGCTGCTGTTATTACTACTACTGCTGCTGTTACTACTACTACTGCTGCTGTTATTACTACTACTGCTGCTGTTATTACTACTACTGCTGCTGTTATTACTACTACTGCTGCTGTTATTACTACTACTGCTGCTGTTATTACTACTACTGCTGCTTTTATTACTACTACTGCTGCTGTTACTACTACTACTGCTGCTACTACTATTACTACTACTACTACTATTATTATTACTACTACTACTAATAATAACACAGTATTTACTACAAGTACATGTACAAGGTATACAGACCATAGTTGACATCAATGACATACTACTATAAAGAAAGCCCTTTTGTTATGCAGAGCATTTCGGGCAAATTAGGTCAGTTTTGTCCCAGGATGCGACCCACACCAGTACACTAACACCCAGGTACCTATTTTACTAATGGATGAACGTAGCAGTGTTTTATGGATGCACGTTCTAGTATTTTCCATCCATACCGGGGATTCGATCCCAGGTCCTTAGTATGTAAGCTGAGTGCACTAGCTATAGATTGTTACAAGGTGTCTCGTGGCCTGGTAGATAACACTCTCGCATCACAATCTGAGTGTCCGTGGTTCGATTCCCGGCAAGGGTAGAAACATTGGGCGTGTTTCCTTACACCTGTCCTGTTCACCTAGCAATAAGTAGGTACCTGGATGTTAGCTGACTGGTGTGAGTCACACAATGGGTGACAAGATTGAGGACCACAATGGAAATAAGACACAGTCCTCGATGACGCACTGACTTTCTTGGGTTATCATGGGTGGCTAACCTTCTGGGGTTAAGCCCTCCTGAAATTATTCATATTTTAAAAGTAAAACTTTATTGGATCAATCATAGGGACTAAATTAATAGCTAATTATTTCGAACTTTGAAAATAAAGATGATGCTTATAAGGATTTCGAATTTCAAGTATGAATATGTTTGATGGTTGTGTGGTTAGTGTGTGTGTGTACTCGCCTATTTGTGGTTGCAGGGGTCGAGTCTTAGCTCCTGGTCCCGCTCCTTCACTGGTTGCTACTGGGTCCTCCTTATCCCTGCTCCATGAGCTTTATCAAACCTCGTCTTAAAACTATGTATGGTTCCCGCCTCCACTACGTCACTTTCTAGGCTATTCCACTGCCTGACAACTCTATAACTAAAGAAATACTTCCTAACATCCCTTTGACTCATCTGAGTCTTCAACTTCCAATTGTGACCTGTTGTTTCTGTTTCTCCTCCCTGGAACATCCTGTCTTTGTCCACCTTGCCTATTCCGCGCAGTATTTTATATGTCGTTATCATGTCTCCCCTGACCCTCCTGTCCTCCAGTGTCGTCTGGCCGATTTCCCTTAACCTTTCTTCACAGGACATTCCCCTTAGCTCTGAAACTAACCTAGTCACAAACCTTTGCGCTTTCTCTAATTTCTTGACGTGCTTGATCAAGTGCGGTTTCCAAACTGGTGCTGCATACGTCAGTATGGACCTGACGTACACGGTGTACAGTGTCTTGAACGATTCCTTATTAAGGTATCGGAACGCTGTTCTCAGGTTTGCCAGGCGCCCATATGCTGCAGCAGTTATCTGGTTGATGTGTGCTTCCGGAGACATGCTCGGTGTTATACTCATTCCAAGATCTTTCTCCTTGAGCGAGGTTTGCAGTCTTTGTCCACCTAGCCTATACTCCGTCTGCGGTCTTCTGTGCCCTTCCCCGATCTTCATGACTTTGCATTTGGCGGGGTTAAATTCGAGAAGCCAGTTGCTGGACCACGTGTCCAGTCTGTCCAGGTCTCTTTGAAGTCCTGCCTGATCCTCATCTGGTTTAATTCTCCTCATTAACTTCACATCATCTGCAAACAGGGACACTTCTGAGTCTAACCCTTCCATCAAGTCATTCACATATACCAATAACAGCACTGGTCCTAGGACCGACCCCTGTGGGACCCCGCTCGTAACAGGTGCCCACTGTGATACCTCCCTGTCAGATATTCTCTGATCTATTGCAGTGCCCTTCCTGTTATATGCGCCTGATCCTCTAGCTAATGCACTAATCTCTTGTGAAGAACTGTGTCAAAGGCCTTCTTGCAGTCCAAGAAGATGCAAACAACCCACATCTCTCGTGTCTTACTTCTGTTACTTTATCATAAAACTCCAGAAGGTTTGTGACACAGGATTTGCCTTCCGTGAATCCGTGCTGGTTAGCGTTTATACTCTTGTTCCGTTCCAGGTGCTTCACCACTCTCCTCCTGATAATCTTCTCCATAACTTTGCATACTATACACGTCAGTGACACAGATCTATAGTTTAGTGCCTCTTTTCTGTCTCCTTTTTTAAAAATGGGAACTACATTTGCCGTCTTCCATACCTCAGGTAGTTGCTCAGTTTCCAGGGATATGTTGAAGATTATGGTAAGTGGCACTCAGCATGTCCGCTCTCTCTCTAAGGACTTACGGGGAGATGTCCGATCCCATTGCCTTTGAGGTATCGATCGATGTCCCTTTGTGTGTGTGTGTGTGTGTGTGTGTGTGTGTGTGTGTGTGTGTGTGTGTGTGTGTGTGTGTGTGTGTGTGTGTGTGTGTGTGTGTGTGTGTGTGAGTTATAACTATTCTGAGTCGTTACAAAGTTTATATAAATATAATTCAACAAAATTAACAAAATCTCAGATAAAAAGAAAAGGAAAGTCGACAACTGGTAATGAGTGTGACCTCGGGACCGTCTTGACCACGGAGGTCAATCTCACAGTGTGTCCGGTACCTTCCTAGTTCACTAAGATTACAATATTTTTATATACGTCATTTTCTCTGCATATATTATCGTCATAACAAAGTCTTCCTTAGAATTGACTTAGATTAATTGAATTCAAGGGCAGTTTTATTCACCACTCTTGTTATGCTCTGTAGAAATTAATCTTTGATTGGGAAATTTTAGATAAATAAAAATACGGACTTTTCATTAAGTAGAAATCTCAACTTTATTCTTCTACAGAATTAGTTTTTGCTGTAATATGCTGTTAGTGTACAGACACATCGTTGACTAAAAGTAACGTACCGACTGACTAGAAACAATAAAGTAGCTGACTATGAAGGACACAGCGCTGACTAGAAAATAAATAGTGCGTAACTTCATATATAACTGGAACTTTTAGGTATAGTACAGTGACTGACTACAAACAATAGGTGACTAGAAACAAACCATTGGCTGACTAGATACAATACAATGGCTGATTAGAAACTATACAATAAATGAATAGATGGAATTCAGTTGCTGACCATGTCCACTACAGTAAACGACTAGATACAATACAGTGGCTGACTGGATACAATACAACAGCACTTAGTGGTAGCATAAGCAATAGTGATAGATATCGTATATCTATAATCTACTTTGAGCCAATTCTCTGCATTTAAGCTTGCAACATAGATGTTTGTAGTGAATATTCGGAAGAGAAAGATTTGCTCTGATGTTTTATTATTAATAATTGTTTACATAGAAGTAGACGCAGGTTCTTTGTGGGTCAACACTGCGTCTAAAACTGTCGATAATATAAACAGACGACGCATCTGCATTTTTTTTTCAAGACATTAAGACGTTTTGTTTGGACTGAGAAAAGTGAGCGATTCATATTATATTTTCGTACGGATCTGTTTATGAGCTTCTCTATATTTAACTTTCAGCAGATAGCCCCAGAGAAGAGCTTAAGGATTTTAACCTGACCCACATACTACTACTGTTCTCTTACATTCTATTTTCAATTTAACATATTTGTAATTGCTTATTTGTGTTTTTGACGACTGAGCTCTTGCTCTTGGTCCCATATCTTAAGTATCAACTGACTGACGTGAAATAGCCTCAC